GCTTGTTTAGCTTATCAACAAGGACTATAACCAAAGGCATTTAACATTCAGTAGCATTAATAGAAGTTCGTACCATTAGGTGTTCTCGTTGACCTTCCTTACCAATGGGTAAAGGTGAGGTTCCGAATACACGATTGCGCACCTTAGATGCGGAAATGAAACAGTATAAATACACTGCATTTCCGTTTGGGAAAAGAGATAGAAGAAAGGGTAACACAGTTTTTTCATATTAATTTTAATAGACTAGTGGCTACTATTGCTAAGCATTAATAATACTGGATAAAAAGTAAATACCAGCTTAAACAGTGGCTACCCATGCCATTTCTACCCAAAAGGTCCATTATGGGCTGGGAACCAAGACCATAAGTGGTACTGGTCTAAACTTCCAAGAACTTAAAACCATACATTTGTGATCTCATTTTCTTGTAGTATTAATTGCTGCTGAAGAAAAAATTGATGGTAAATTTGTGGTCTCCAATGGCTGAACTGNCACCAAAAAAAAATAAAATTACAATTCAGAATGTTTTTAATATTGTATTTGATGACATGCAAAATGTAGGACAGTAGCACTTTTCAGAATTTTGAGCAATTTTATTTCCACTGAGTCAGTCACTGGGACTTATGCTTCTGCTGGTGAATTAATTTGTGAGTTCCATTTTTATTTTTTTTTTTGGTTAAAAATTTCTCCCCGTTTGATGTTTTTGATGATATGTTTGGGTAAAAATGTGATCTTTGTGTTAAAGGTTTGTTGCAATGTTGTGCATTCTTGGAAGTTGTACATGGAGCTATAGGTAAAGTACTTTAATGGGTTTTTTTTTGACAGTATTGTAAAAGTAGCAAAGTTCATATTCTGATTACTTTCTTTTTTGGGTTATATAAGGGATTGTTCCTAGTGGAGCAGTGCTTCCTTTGATGCAATGGAGTGGAAGAACTCATTTTTTGCTTGCAATTGTTCGTCCAATTGTTGAGGTTTTACTTCTTCTAATCAAATCACACATACTTTTATGCACTAGTTACTAAAAATAGTAAAATCATATGCATTTTTTAAATAGGAGTTTAGTTGTATACATAGCCCGTATAAGAAATTTTTACACCATTAGGAGCACAGTCGATTATACATTTGGCATACCAACCGAAGTTGGTCGGAAAGTTCATTTTATAAAAAGCAGAAATTTAAATTTACCGGCCGACATCGGTCAGTAATTGCAATGTCCAGCCATAAATTCAAAATACCAACCGAAGTTGGTTGGAAAGTAACTTTTCTACTCTATTATATTTTAATATTTCGACCAAGATTGGTCGGAAAATTATATTTTTTAAAAAAAAATTATATTTATTTTATTGACATATAACGGTCGCTAATAAAAAAAAAGACTTTTTAGTATATCAACCGATTTCGATCGGTATATTTATTTTTCCTAGATAATGTGTCACATGAGGTGGTCAATTTTTAGTTGAACAAACCAACCACCTTCAGTCGGAAATGGCTACCGACTTAGGTCATTATTGATTACCGACTAGGCTTATCTCGGCATATTAAAATCGATCGAAAATATGCCAATTTTTCTCATATACCAACTGATTTCAGTCGGTTTTTCTGGACGATTTTCGCTCTTTTCTAGTAGTGATTACAAATTTCACATTTTAAGGAGGTATACATATAAATATCCATTGTGTGACCAGATAGTGTAAAAGATCCTTTACACTGACGATGTACATAACTTAAACTCTTCAAATAGTATCATCATTGAACTAATTATTGGTGCAATAACAAGATTTTTGGAAGCTTAATAAAGATATGAAGTCTTTTTGTTGTCCTGGTTTCTGGTCTGTGTACAATTTGGTGTGAACACAAAGAACTTGAGTGTGAAGTATTTGTGGTCTGTTTTACTTCTTGCAGGTCCAAGAATCGCCTTCCGTGTTCATAACATTTTTAGCTTGGAGCTTAAGTGAAGTGAGTTAGTTTTCCTCTCTTTGTTTTCCTTACATGTTACTCTCACTTTCTTTTTCCCTTTTTTTAATTTGGTCGATTCGTATATTTAGAATCTTAAACCATCTTGAGGAAGTACCGGTGTGAAACATACCCTCGCATGCGAAAACTTTAGAACTTACTCCTATTGAAAGGAGTGGCAGAAAGAAGAAGAAATTATTTGTACTGTGGTAAAGAGCAGCTCCCTGTGGACTTTTGAAGAAAGTGAGCACACAGAGTGGACTACCAGGCAACTGTATTTATGCTTGATATAAATATGATGGACCACATCTATTAATTGTTGGAGATATATATGGAGTGGGCCGAAGATTTAAGGCTATATTTAGTATGTGAAATAGCTCGTAAGTTTACAACAACAACAAACTCATTATAGTCCCACAAGTGGGATCTGGGAAAGGTAGATAGTACGCAGACCTTACCCCTACAGTGAATATAGAGACGTTGTTACCAGTAGACCCTCGACACGAGTTATTAAGAAATAACTCTTTAAGTTTACATTCTAAATTCTGACCCAAGAAAATTGGTAATAGAATAGAAAAGAAGAAATAAATCTACAGAGAAATCATGAAGTTTTAGCGGTTATCACTTTGTTATTAGACCAGAGAACTAACAATGCTATAAGATTTTTCATATCTGATAATGAAGGCTCATTGTTTTAGCTTTAGTCTTCACTCCTATAGTCCTACAACTTATAGAGTATTAGGTTGGTGACTTAGTGATTGAATGGATTTGGCAATGCTTTGTGATAAACTGGACTATTCTCAATACCTTTCTATGCAATTAGTTACCAAAATAGTACGTGATTCAAAGAAACTGTGTCCACTTTATCCCATATTAAGTTGTTGTGTTTTAGTGCACAAAAACGGTAGCCTGGTGCACTAAGCTCACCCTATGCGCGGGGTTCGGGGAAAGGCCGGACCACAAGGGTTTATTGTACATAGCTTTACTCTGCATTTCCACAAGAGTCTATTTCCATGGCTCAAATTTGTGACCTCCTGGCCACATTACAACAACTTTACCGGTTACACCAAGATAGTAATTTTTGTGTTTTAGCGCACAAGAATGTAATTTTAGGAAAAGTATAAAAAGTACTTGTAGCTGTATGGGAAGTTTATTGAGATTGAATTGCTAAACCTCACCTTTGGGCAAAAGCTATCCTAAGGTAGCTTATACGGAAACGTGAAAAATTGACAAAAACATGAATGTAATTTAGGTTACTTGACACCTCAAAATTTCGAGCTCAAAATGTGATTCTAAGCAGTAAACAATTATATGGACCTGTTCCTCCACGCAGGTGATCAGATACTCACATTATGCTTTGAGTTGCACTGGAAATCCACCCTACTTTATCACTTACCTCAGGTTTGATCCTCTTTCAGAAAATAATGCATCTAGTTACTCAGGAAAGAGTATATTATTGGGATATTTACTTGGTCTTAAATTTATTTTTTGCCCGTTAGGTACACTGCTTTCATTCTACTGTATCCCGTTGGACTAGGACCTGGTGAAAGTAAGTTAACAAGTTTGTTGAAACTAATGCATCGCATTCATATTGTTGTATATCATTTCATTTGTTTGTGGTCACCTTTGTCGAGTCTGTGCAAATCTGAAAAGTTTGGACTTCATTTCAATGCAGTGTGGCTTATGTACCAAGCACTTCCATTCATAAAAAGGAAAAACTTGTATGCAGATAGTCTCCCTTTCAGTTATTGTAACTTCGTTAAGGTACGTTCTGATGTCCTGAAACAAAGATCAACTTTTGCTGAAACCTGTATGCAGTGGTCTATTTTGTTCTCTTCAATTCAAAAGGAAACTGAGCGTTAGGCTTGTCATTACTTCGAAAATTGAGGACCTGATTATGTCTAAAAGCAAACGAGTTCAGCATCCAATCTATTCGAATTTACTTAGTGTTGTTATATACTTTTCAGCTGCAATGATCTTTAGTTGCTCTGCTGTTCATATCTCGATATGCCATAGTTTTGCAAACTATAGAAAAAAACATCTTTAACGACGAAAGCTTACTTTGGCTTTTGCCACCATACCAATCTGCTTGAGCTTTACTTTTGCATCAGATTCTCTCCATTTCTTGAGGCGAAACTTTTGGCGCTTACTCTGTATAAAATATTTAAAACAAAGTAAACCAACTTGACTTCAAATCCTATGTACCAATGTCGCGAGTGGATCATTCTTTGTAGCTGATATTGTTGTATCATTCATGTGAATCTTATGCCCGGAGTTGGTTTGAGTAATGCCTATAAAGAGAGTTTTCCTACTTGCATATATAGATGGATTGAACTTCCTTATGCAAAATGCTGAACCCTTGTAAATGTTTTGGGCATCATCTTAGGCATGTAAATGAAGGGGAGCCTTGGCCGTAACTGGTAAAGTTGTTGTCATGTGACCAGGAGGTCACGAGTTCGAGCCGTGAAAACAACCTCTTGCAGAAATGCAGGGTAAGGCTGCGTACAATAGACCCTTGTGGTTCGGCCCTTCCTCGGACCCCGCGTTTAGCGGGACCTTAATGCACCGGGATGCCCCTTAAGCACATAATTAGAATGATTCTTATTTATTCCCCAAAAGAAATATATTACTTCATTATTTTGTTGTAGACATAAGCAGTACTTTATCATTTTTCTTTCAACTTCAGGTTCTGCTTCTGGTCTACCCTTTTCTATGGCTCAACCTCTATCTGCACTTGTTTAAGCAACGGCGCTCAAAGCTTGGTAAACATCAGAAGACAAAGACGATATGAGAGTCCAAGTTTTTTTTTCTATTACTTTTAATTTCAATTGCATGTAGAGATTGGATAAAGGATATCAACTATACCATGAGAAGTTAAATTCCTAGCATTTGACACCTTTCTCCATCAACAGACTTTCTGCTGGTGAATTTCCAAATATAACTGTATGTCTGAATCTAGACAACTCTAAGCTTAAAACCTATTGGAGAAACTTACTACTTTCCAAAATATGTTTGTTCATGACCTTTCTTTAAGTGCCCACAGCACAACTTACTACATAAACTAAACTAAAATTGGAAGGGAAAATGACATTGTATAGCCGCTCTCAAAATAATAGCCGAAGAATGTATATTTTTTGTATACATATACATTCCGTATGTTATATACAAAAATTATATAAATTTTATATACTTTTCGGCTACTGAATGTAAATAATTTCTAGTGTGAACTAAAAGTGAAAACAAAAGCCCAAATTGTTAACATCCAACAAATTTGATCCAGCCAGAACCAAGCAATTCAAAAACAATAAATACATTATAAAAGTAAGTAAATATAGCCACTAGATCCAATCAGATTGGGGAAAGAATGACTACAAGTTTAGTACATATTTTTTTTTAAAGAAGATGAATGGTGCTGCTGTGATAATTGTGATTGTTATATAGTTTTATTTAATTATTGAACAGTCAAAGATAATATTAGAACCAAAACACTTTAAGATGAGGACTATCATCTTCCTCAATAACTATCATGACAAATCATCAAGAACATAAACTAGAGACGGAAGCATACCTAAATCTATAAAAATTGGGTTAGTCCTTCAACCTTAGCCTGAATATAACCTTAATGGACAGAGATTGCTCAACTCAGACCATTAAGATAGCCTGGCCCAGACCCGAACTGGGATTGGCATGCTCATCCTTAATGGACCGGGCCAACCCGACTAGGCCCAGTAGACACTCGTACTTTAGAGAAGAATTAACTCAAATAGCGCCTAACTTTTTAAACTAAAAGTAGCCGGTAAAAGTATATTGTATGCATAATTTATGTACTATATATGTGTAATTGTGTATAATCAATATATATGGCTAGAAAAAGTAAATAATAAATATGACCGGTTATTTGTATAAACATCCCTACTTTGGAAGGCCCTATATCTAAGACTAGTAAATGAAAGGGAATAACGGAAGCTCCTCCGACTTACATTCAATGCACAAACTTCCGGATCCGGGGCAAAATACAAAATTAATCGGTCAACCGAAATTAATTGTATTTTCTAGCCAAAAAATATATATTTTGTCGACTATTATTTTTGAGAGCAGCTAAAAATATAGATCTCTATAAAAGATATAGGATGACGCACATGCTACCTATAAATACAACTTACAACGTTAAATGAGTACAAAATTCATGTGCCATGCGAAACGCGCAAGGTGACAAGTGATTGAACTTGTACCACCATGTGCAAAACTAAACAATATACCTTTCTTAACACTCTAATCCTTAATTTTCCTCCCACTAATGACAATAACTTGCAATTCAACTATACGCTGTAGATTTTACTAACCCTCATTAATTGCCGATCCGATTAAGTAGATAGGTAAAGTCGTTAATCGTTAGAATACTAAAAAGAATGTTAAAAACGAGANATATATATAAACTAGCAAATATAATTAATTTCGACAGACCAACTAATTTTGTATTTTTCTCTTAAAAAATAGTAGTAGCACTTTTATATTTACAAAGTAAATACTAAATACAGCCTCTGCTTTTCCGGACCATTGCTGCGGTGGGCTCAAAAAAGCAACTTTTATAAGCTAAATTTTTTAGAAGAATTAAAATGACTGCTCCGCCCCCAACTTTCAATCATAGGCTATAAAATATGTAGGTTACAATAAAAATGAAAAAAGACTAGTATATAGGTTAGGCACTTAGCCATTATCTGTGGCCTCATTTGGAACTACTCCAAACTCTATTTCAGGTTATGGTATTTTTGTACATGTTCATGCATGTGTAAATGATGTTTTGTACTTCAATGTCATACAAGAGGGATGATTTATGTGGTGTTCAATTTTTGAGTGCATAGATTATAAAAAGACCTGGTTTTTTTATGTGTTCCTTAAACTACTATTGCGAAAATACTAAATGTGAAAAGTAAAGAACACAAGTATTTTTACGTGGAAAACAACCGACTCAAAAGGTGGGGAAAAAACCACGACCTACTACTCAGTAGGATTTTTCTCAATACTTCACTATATCACTAAACCAAAACAGTATTTACAAAAACTCTTTGTAAACCTAAGAATTACCTCTAATCCCGTTGTGGCAATCTGCCTTTAACTGTTGCGATAACTTCAAGTTAATTCTAACTTGAATACTCAGAGTACCTAATACAATTGCTTCTAGATAAAGATGAAAGGTACAAATTGAGAACACCTACTACAATTGAATTCGAATAAAAGATAGACACTTGGAACTGGTTCTTTTATCTGGTTCTTGTAGCTTCAGGTTCGCACACTTGAATCACACAAGAATTGCTTGCAAAATGTCTTGCTATTTTGCTCTCAACTCACTAGGAAATAACTAGAGTTCCAATAATATACTCTTTCTTGGTGGAAGAGTTCTAGTTATCTTTAACTTCTAACTTTTCTCTTATCTTGGATAAAGTTCTCTTCGAGTAAAGAGTCCTTCTCCTTATCATTTATGCAACCTTTTCAATCATGAGATATCAGATATAACAACTTAAGTTTATCTCCTTCACGTGCATCCCTTATGCTTGAATCAGTCTGTGTTTGTGTACACTGTGAATGAACCTGGTTTATGCTTGAGTTCCTTTGTCAATCATCAAAACAAACTTTGCTTGGGCCAACAATAACTACTCAGATCTATCTTTGCGTTCCATTTTGGTTTTTTGATTTTGAAAATGCGAAAATTGAATTTTTTTTTTTTATTTCTCAAAAACTTGGTCAAAGAATTTATAATGCTATTAGTACTTCGTCCAAGTGTTGTCGAAACCTGAAGAAGTAACCAAATTAAGGCCAAGGAACTGAAACTTTGTTTTTAATAATGTAACTGCTCTTGAGCTTTTGGATCACATAAATAAATTGGTTTAATAATGTGAACTTTTCAAGAAAACCTAGGCAATGAGTGAATAATAATTGCTGCAATAAATAATTATTTGATGTGTGTGTATGCCATTTTAATTATTCAGGTAGAGACCTGCTAGATTCATTGCATGAAAATGAACCAATAAAAAAACCAAGCAGCTTTGCCATTTAGGAGTATTAAATACAAGTAATTTTGTCTGCATCTTAACAAATGGTGTAAAACCACAAGAAAGAGAATCAAACAGACAGATAAATTCCACGTGTTAGAGCTCCAACGGCTTGTCATAGTGCCATGTCTCGTAACACTACCATGCAACTACAGAAATGAACTATTTAAAGGAGGATTAGGAGGATAATACAAAACTGAGGACGTAAAACGACGTAATCATGGAGAAATCCAGCGGCGCGACTTAATATTATATGGGTTTGTTCAAGGAGGTTACATTGATAGTGGTATAGACATATTATAGCATTAAGCACATAACTTTGCAGAAATATTGAAATTTATACCTTTGAAAATAAGTAATTGATCATGTTAAAATCTTTATACCATTGAAGGATCGATATAGTTAAACTCGTATTAATAATGCCGGTGTTAAAATTGTTAGAAAAAATAGTTGATAATACTGACCAAGAACAATTAAAAAAAAAATAGAAATAAGCTATCGAATAAATATTGTATCGATGGATGCAAATATTGTGATTTCAATCCGAATGGATGCAAACCGTTAAGATCGATCGCTCCCCAAGGTTACACAGTACTTCCAAACACGTACACTCGTGGTTAGAAGTTTGGAGTTTGCAAAAAGGAATTGCCCAGGAAAAATAGGAAGAAGATTATTCTTTTGAGAGGATGAGAGAATTATGTTTTTGGTTGGTTATTTAGTTCACAAATGATGATGCTTATATAGGCACATCATCTACGGTTTCTTTCATCAGAAAAATGTAAGAATCAAATGGGAGTTAAAGTTGTGTAACATTATTTTTGTCGTAATAACAAAATTGTCATAAAGACAGTAACTTCAAACTTTCTTAAAAGATAATATCTTTTCACAAACGAAATCACAAAATTAAGAAACCATCATATGAATGAATGTGAAATGAAGTAGTAATTTCATTCTCCCACTCTGCATATATATATAATCTGGATATATTACAAAAATTAATGATGGAGAGGTATGAGAATTAACTATAGATTAGTTGTGGATTAGAAGTTCTTTATTCTTTGCATTATCAAATTAGAGTATATCACCTAAAGAGGAATAATACCAACAATCCTCTACTAATGCAAAGATAAAGAATAAGAAAATTTTCTGGGCAAATGGAAGGAACATGTACTTAAGTGTCAATATCTTTCGATTTGAATTGACACGTAGTGAAATGAGGTAACGACTAATATCCACAAAGTGAAGTACTCTTGAACTAAATGGACATGAGTTGAGACCCCCATAACACATACTATATCCTTAATCTTTATGCAAACTCCGCGATACTAACAAAGTGCTTTTATGGTCATGCACACACCTTAGGTCTCATGAGTGCTCTAAAAAAATATCCCAAGTCTTTCATAAAAGGCGACCGCACATTTACACTCACGTAGGTGATTCCATCAAGTCTATCAACATTTAAACCACCTTAAGGCTATGGAATCATTAAGAGCAAAATAGGCTCAACCTTATAAAGCACTACTACACGTCATAGGGATAAGAAATGTAGTGCATATTGAAGTCTCATATGGCTTCGTTTGACCACAGATGGGTATCCACCATACTTCCTCAATCCATGGGCTTTAGTCTCATCCCTCTCGACATTTCAAGGATAACTCTACTTGCCAAACCCTTGGTTAAAGTATCTGCCAAATTTCTTTCGTATCTTACATATTCCAAGAAAATAATAATATGTTTTAATAATTGTTCCATCGTACCATGTCTAATGCATATATATCTTCTTTTTTTATTGTACACACTATTCTTGGCAATTCCAGTTGACGCTAGTGAGTCACAATGTAAAGAAACTAGTGAAATTTGCCCCTCATAAAGGCACATTTGCCAATAAGTTTCTCAGCCATTCAGCTTCTTGCCCTGCTAACTGAAGAGCAATAAATTCAGATTTCATAGTCGAATGTGCTATACAAGTCTGTTTTGAAGACTTCTACGAAATAGCACCTACATCCAAAGTAAACACATAGCCTCTATTGGAGCTAATTTCATCATTGTTAGTAACCCTGTTTGCATCACAAAAGCCTTTTTAAACAGCAGAAAATTTATTAAAATGCAAACACCAATCCATAATACCTCTCAAATATCTTAGTAAACGATGACGAGCATTCCAATGTTTACTACTGGGGTTGTGGGTATATCTACTCAATCTACTAACAGCATAAGCAATATCAGGCCGTATATAATATCATGAGAAATATTACACTCCAATTGTCTTAGCATATTCAGTTTGAGAAACACTAGATTCTTTATTCTTTCACAAGTATATGCTAGGATCATAAGGAGTTCTCACATGAGCTACATCAAAACAATCAATTCTTTTTAATATTTTTTCAATGTAATGAGACTGAGATAATAAAAATCGATTAGCAGTTCTTTTAATTTTAGTCCCTAAAATTACATCTGCTTCTCTCCAAGATCTTTCATTTCAAATTTAGAAGATAACAACTTCTTAGTCTCATTTAAAATATGCACATTAGGGCCAAGGATTAACATGTCATTTACATAAAGACATATAATCACACAATTTGATCCTACCATCTTACAATAAATACAAGTATCAGATGCATTAACAACAAATTCATTATCTACTAGTGTGCTATTAAACTTTTTATCAGATGCATTACCATTGCTTAGGTGCATGTTTAAGACCAATAAAGACTTTTTCAATTTGCATACTTTATTCTCTTGTCATTGGATCACGAAATACTCAGGTTGAGTCATATAGATCTCTTCCTCTAAATCACCATTAACAAAAGTCATCTTAACATCCATTTGATGTATCACTAAATTATGTATAACGGCTAAGGCAATAAGATTTCTAACAGTTGCTATTTTAGTCACGGGAGAATAATTACCACGGGAGAATAAGTACCAAAGTAGTCAATGTCTATCTTTTAGTTAAAACCCTAATAACAAGTCTAGCCTTATATTTCTTGTTGGCCCAAGTGAAGGTTTGTTTCGAAATTGATAAAGGAAGCTCAGGCATGAACCAGGTCCATCCCCTGTGTGCATAGATACGAGCAGATTCGAGAAACGGGCGGATTCGAGCATATGGGATGCACATGAAAGAGATAAGCTTAACTTGGTATAATTGATATCTCCTTATCGAAAAGGTTTTATAATTGATAAGGAGAAGGACTCCTTATTCAAAGAGAACATTATCCAAGATAGGGAAGGAGTTAGAAGTTGAAATCAACTAGAACTCTTCCACCAAAGAAGAGTAGCATTAGGACTCTAGTTAATCTTTATTTACTAACTCTATAAATATCAGTGTTGTTCTTTTTTATAGGTAATGCACAACGCATAAGTTAAACGTGAATTGAGAGCAAAATAGCAAGGTTTATTGCAAGCAGTTCGCGTGTGATTCAAGGGTGCAAACCTGAAGTTACATGAACCAGATAGAAGAACCAGTTCCAAGTATCTGTCTTTTATTCTAGTTCAATTGTATTAGGTGTTTTCATATTGTACTTTTTGGCTTTATATAGAGGCAATTGTAATAGGTACTCAGAGTTTTCAAGTTAGAGTTAACTTGAAGTTGTCGCAATAGTTAGAGGTTGTTTTCCACAAAGGGATTAGAGTTAATCCTAGGTTTACAAAAGTGTTTTGTAAATGCAGTTTTTGGCTCAATGATTTAGTGAAGAGTTTGGGAAAATCCTACTGAGAAGTAGGTCGTACTTTTTTCACCTTTTAAGCCAGGTATTTTCCACGTAAAATACTTGTGTTCCTTATTTTCTGCATTTACTATTTCTGCGATAGTAGGTTAAGGAACACTTAGAAGAACCAGGTCCTTCCATAATCAGTTTAAGCAAAAAATTAGACACCACACAAATCACTCCCATCTTGTGTGGTATTGAAGTTAAAACATCAATTGGTATCAGAGCAGGTTATCCTTGAAGAGGCTGATACCTTAGGAACATATCAAGATGAGTGCACCACCTGAAAACTGAGAAGGGCAATCCACTGCTAGGCCTCCACTCTTTAATGGACAATACTACTTTTGGTGGAAAAACATGATGAGAGATCACATCATTGGAGAAGACAATGAGCTATGGGACATTATCACTGATGGTCCCCTGGCTATCGTGAAGAAGAATTCTGAAGGAGTAAATATGCCAAAAACGAGAGCTGACTGCAATGTTGAGGACTTGAGGAAATGGGAGAAGAATGCTAAGGCCAAGAAATGACTTGTGTGTGGACTTGGTCCTGATGAGTATAGTAGAATTCAAGAGGAACACTTTGCAAGTGGCTCATGAAAGAACACCTCAAGTGAAGAGGTCCATAGGAATACTGTTAGTATTCTGAATATGGGGCACCATGAATGAAGGGTAAACCATCCGGGAGATGTATACAAGGTTTACCACATTGACAAATGTACTTAAGTCTCTTGAAAGGGTTATTCTTGAAGAAGACAAAATTAAGAAGATTTTGACAAGGGTTCTGCCAGTCTCTTGGGAAAGCAAAATCACTGTTATTCAGGAACCAAAGAATATCGCCACTCTTAAGTTAGATGATCTAATTGGAAATCTCACTACCTATGAACTTAGAAGGAAAATCATGAAGATGGATGCACCCAAGAAGGAAAGGAGTCTGGCATTCAGAATCACTGAAGGTGTTGATCTAGATGAGGATGAAATGGCCATGATCACAAAGGACTTCAAGAAATACCTAATGAGAGGAAAAGGTCCTTCCAAAAGTGGAAACTACAGCAAATCAAGGCTTCCTGAAAAGCAAACCAATGAGGTATATTACAAGTATGGGAAGACTGATCACCACATCAAAAACTGCCCTCAATGAAAAATTAAATAG